CTCTCCTCCAGGTAGCCAACTACAGGGTTCTCTCCTTCTGGGATCCAGTTACTGCTCCCTCTCTTTGTCCCTTCTGGCCTGGAAGGAACAGCCAGTGGTACTAAGCCCAGGTTATACCACTACTGATCCTGGAATGATACCAGTTTGAGTATGTCATTTGCTTTCCTCTGAGACTAAGTGATATGCCAACTTAAAGCTAGAAATAATTATTGTCCATTTTAGACTAAGTCCATTTATTCATTTTTAATTACATTCAGTAGATTATTCCTGACAGTCAAAATATATATTTTAATGTCAAAGAAATAAGTAATCTCTTTGGGTCAGATGTTCATAAAAATTTATTATACAAATATTTATTAAGTACCTACAAGATACAATTATTGCTAGTATTGATTGAGTGCTTACTACATGTCAGGTACTTTGCAAAGCATTTTACTTACCTTCTGTTATTTACCCAATAATTCTATAAAGTAGGGAATATAATTATTATTCCCCCTTTTATGAAGAATAAACTGAGACTAAAAAATATTAAGAAAATAAATTTCTCCAAATATCATAGCTAGGAAGTCATGGAATCAAGATTCAAATTTAGGCAGAGATTCTCAGAATCTACTTGTTAACCTCTGCGCTCTACTGCCTCCTTAACATTATGCTATACATGTGAGCTATATAGTTGGAAAATAAGGTCCACCTACATGCAGGAAGCCCAAGATCTTATGGGTAGAGAAGACATAAATGTAAAAACCACTTGGAGCATTCATAAGAGAGCTTTTGAAGGAAAAGCCGTTTATAACTTGTGCTCTGTATTATGTTCAGTGTTATGGAGGACCTTACATTTTATTTTATTTTATTTATTTTTTTAAGAAGAAATTTCCATCTTCAGGAAACAACTTTTTTTAAAATAAATTTATTTATTTATTCATTTATTTTTGGCTATGTTGTGTCTTTGCTGCTGCCCAGGGGCGACTCTTGGTTGCGGTGTGCAGGCTTCTCATTGCAGTGGCTTCTCTTGTTGCGGAGCACAGGCTATAAGCACTCGGGCTTCAGTAGTTGTGGCACACAAGTTCAGTAGTTGTGGCTCACGGGCTCTAGAGCACAGGCTCAGTAGTTGTGGTGCATGGGCTTAGTTACTCTGCAGCATGTGGGATCTTCCCAGACCAGGGCTGGAACCCGTGTCCCCTGCATTGGCAGGCAGATTCTTAACCACTGTGCAACTAGGGAAGTCCAAGGCCCTTACATTTTAATCAGTACTAATCCTTTAGATATATTTTTCTTGAATCATTTGTGATTTGAACTATTTTCATTCTGTCATTTCAGTGAGGATTAGGTTCCACTATTAGAAAAGAGGCTCAAAGTAACGCTGGGTTAAACAAGATAAAAGTTTACTTCTCTCTTGTAAAAATCCCTAAGTAGGAAGTGCAGGGACTAGGAGCTCTGGTCCACAAAGTTATCAAAAACCCAGACTCCTTCCAGCTGACTACTCCATCATTCCTAAGTCTAGGCCCTCTAAATGCTAGTGTTCTAAGATAGTGACCATAACATCCACTCTCCTGGAGTAAGGATGGAGTAAGGGGCAAAGAGTGCCCACCAGCTATCTTTAAGGAAGAGAGCAAAGCTGCTGCAAGACACATTTGCTTACATTTCATTGGCCAGCACTTAGTCACATGACTACATCTATGCTTGCAAGGGAGGCTGGGAAATGTAGATTTTTTAATTCAGAGTAGACATACACTCAGGAGAAGATTAGGGGTTCTATTAACATGGAAGAAAGGGAGAAATAGCTATAGGGGAATAACAGTTTCTGCTGTAAATTTCTCACAGTTCCTGGTGAGATTATTTATCAATGTGATTAAAGGTGTGCAATTTATCTTCACAAGGCAAAACAAACACTTCTTAAGGACAATACTCAATGCATACTAGAAAAACGGGGTCTTATTATTTTGGATAAGTTTCAAATATATGTGGTCTCCCAGAAAGCCCTTTATAAGCATTACTTGCCAAGTGTGAAATAGTTCTTAAAAATATAAAATAGATCTGCCTTTGTCACCAGCCTCATTGTTTTTGCTAGCACTCTGTATTCTAGTCACATTGACCTTATTTTTGTTTCTTGTAAGAATCATACTACTTCCTACCTTAGGGCCCTCACTCAGGCTGTTCTCTCTTGTACTCTTCATCTTTATAACTTCTACCCTTCCTTCAGATTTCTGCTTAAATTCATATCCTCAGGGGAGCCTTTCCTAACCCTAATAGACTAGTCAGACACCAACAGACTAGTTATATGCTCCGTGGCATTTTTTTCCCTCTGAGCACTCAGGACAATGATAATAAAATAATTAATTACACAATTATACATTAACTATCTGTCATCCCCACTTGATGTATAATCTCTGAAGACATAAACTGTTGCTCTGGTGTTTGGTACATCTAATAAGTGCTCAATAAATAGTTGTTGAATGAATGAACAAAGTAGAAGAAAGTTAAAATTTAGGAGTCGCAGGAAAGCATCTAATAATGAAATAACTTTAGACTATAGTGTGAGGATCTTTAATAATCTAAAGTAAGTCCTGATGATCTCTAGGAGCCTTGCAGTTTGAAACTGACAATATTTAAGCTATTCAGAGGAAAGATGTTCATGATACACGGTTAAGTGGGAAAAAAGATATATTAAGAAAGAAAATCTATTGTGCATGCATGTTTATCTGTACATGTATATTAACAGTAATAAAAGAAAACCTAAATATAATGTGTTTGTGTGAAAGAAAGGGAGGCTGAAGGAGAATCAGGCTGGCTGGTTCACATCTCAGCTCCATCACTGGCCAAGGGCTTTAAAATAGTACACAGCATGTGTCCAATAAATGTTATATTATCATAATATAGATATACGAAGAGACAAAAGTGAAAGGTTTTACATCAAAATATTAGCAGTGATTATCTCTTGGGTTTTGTTTTTAAAATCTGTGTTAGCACTTTTTTTTTTTGGCCACACTGTGCAGCTTGTTGGATCTTTGTCCCCCGCCCCACCCCACCCCCGCCAAGGACTGAACCCGGGGCCACAGCAGTGAAAGTGCAGAGTCCTAATCACTGGACCACCAGGGAATTCCCTGTGTTAGTGCTTTTTTTTTTTTTTTTTTTTGGTGGTACGCGGGCCTCTCACTGTTGTGGCCTCTCTCGTTGTGGAGCACAGGCTCCAGACGGGCAGGCCCAGTAGCCATGGCTCACGGGCCCAGCCGCTCCGCGGCATGTGGGACCTTCCCGGACAAGGGCATGAACCCGTGTCCCCTGCATCGGCAGGTGGACTCTCAACCACTGCGCCACCAGGGAAGCCCTGCCCTACTGTATTAAAATAACATTTACACAAATGAATCTGTGTCCTAATCCCATGTTATTACCACCAAGGCCTATAAAGCCCAACATGACCTGCCTCTTATCCCATCTCCTGCTGCTCTCCTCCACACCATACTCCAGCATATGATAAGCTGTTTCCACCCCCTTTTAGACTTTTAAATTGTTCCCTCAGCCTAGAGCTGTCTCTGCTCTCTTTCACATGCACATGGCTGGTTTCTTTCCTGGTCTCAGCTTTGTGAACCTTTCCTGGCTGCACTGAGTCTCCCTGTTGGTCAGTGGTCCCCACTCTACTCACAGCCATCAAGACATGTCCTGTGGAATCATCTTTGATCCGTCCCTCTTCTGCTTTGCTCAGTGAATGTTTGACAAGTCCAGTTGATAGTTCATTCAAATATGTTTCTTCTCTCTGTCTCTCCCTACAGCATAGTCCAGAAAGACTACGGGGTGGCTTTGAAGGATGGACAAGATTCGAAAGGACAGAGATGGGTCCTCAATGTGAGCTTCCATAGGAGCAAAGATAAGCAGCAGAACCAGCCTGATGTGCTGTGGGAAGTGAAGAGAGACATCACAGCAGTCCACATTTATGTTGTGAATGTAAGTGAACTTACATTCACTTATTTTCGATATTAAGGGCTACTTCAGGACTATGGCCCTTAAACTTTTGAGAGGTTGATTAACCCCCTTGATTACATGTTAAAAGCTATGAATCCTTTTCAGAAAAATGTACATAAATCCGAAATTTTGCAGATCATGGAGGAAAGGAATTCCCAGGTGAAACTAGGCTTTATCAGTCAATCACCTACTATCTTGAATACATGCAGTGTTATTTGTTTTATTCATTCAACAAACATTGGAGGCCTACGATGAGGCCAAGCACAGTTCTAGATATTAGATTTGTATACCGTATAGAACATACCTGTCCCTCTTGGCCTTCATGGATCTTGAATTCTGGCATAAGAGACAGACATTAAACAAGGAAACAAATGAAAATATAATGTCATATAATGGTAAATGTTATGAAAAAAATAAAGGAGGGCAATGGGACAAGGGCGGGTGAAGCTGTTTTAATGATGTGGTCCTCTCTGAAATGATATTTGAGCAAGAGCTGCATAAACTAAGTCAGTGGTCATGAGAAGCAGTGAGAGAAGACCATTGCTGGCAATGAGAACAGAAAGTGCACAGGCCCAGGGGCCTTTTCTTCCCTCTAAGATACACGGCGAGGTCCAGGATCCTGCAGGTCCTCCTCCCATAATGAATAACTGTGCTGGTTAGCACAGTTCTCAGAACATAGGTTGAAGCCTGTCCCATGCTTCCCCATTTCAAACGTCAAATCCAACCCCACCGCGCTTTCAGTACTTCTCTGAAATGCCTCTTCCCCTGGGAAACCTAACTCATTCAAGGAGGGATCTCAAGTTGCTCTAATTATTAGTATAAACGTTAAAAAATAGTGTTCGTTACTTTCTAAGGATATATGCGGGGCCAGTGAATTTGTTTTTTTGGGTAGCGCCGGTAAAGTTGCAGGCAAACTGCTGGAACTAAACGCGGGCGCTGTTGGGTGGATCCCCGCCTTACCCACGGCACCGGGGCTCTTTCCCGCGGAGACTACATTTCCCAGAGTGCCCCGCGAGCCAGGAAGGCGCGTGGAGCGGTGTCTCTTAGGACCCGGGTTGAGGTAAGATGGCGGGCTCGCGGTGAGTTGTGGTCAAGTAACCATTTCCCTTTCCTTCTCCCGTTTAGTAGTCCCTAAGAGCTGGGCAAGCCCAGAAAGTTTATAGGCAGCTGTCGAGGTCTCCTACCTGTCGTTTGCGGCAAGATAAAGCCTCTGGCATTACTAGACTCGGTCCGTCCTGCAGAAGGGCCGGCGTGTGGCCGCGCGCTTACCGTGGGGTCTGGTTCTGGTAGCCTGTTCCTCAAGCCTCAGTCCCTCCCAGACTCTCCGCAGTCCTCTATTGTTCCAGCGTTGAATTCCGGGCCAAGGGGTTTACCCTCTGAATTCTCTCTCTGGGGTGAATAATGTGACCTCTGGGTTTCGGACAGAGGGGACCTAACGTCCCCTCAAGTGTTTTGTTTCTCATTTCGTGGTCAGAAGCTGTGGGCTTGCGTTACACCCATAGTACCTATTAAGCAGCAGTAAAGTGGCAGGTAAACCGTTTGAGCTTTCGGAGCCTCGCTTCTTAGTGTTTTAAATGGAGACGCCTACTTCACAGACTTGTGAAGGAGCATATAATGTATAGGAAAATGGGTCGTAAAGTGTAGGAGGCACACTGTAGGTACTCAGGGATGGCACTGCTAATGTACCGACACTGCAAGGAATCAGTCTGCGTAGTTCAACGACTAAGACTGATGAAATAAGCTTTTATCACTGTGCGGGGGTGGTGGGAGGGGAATAGTCATCGAGGCCAGTTGAAAACAAGTGATGTATGTCATTTATTCACAACAGACCTGGAGCTTGTGGTTGTTTCCCCCCATTTTACCGTGGAAGGAACTGAGGGTTGCTTCGTTAATGACTTGCCCAAACTTTTCCAGTTTGTAAGGGATTGACTCTGAAGTTCTTGGAAGCAATTTATTTAAATTTTGTACCTTAGTTTCTTCATGAATCAAAATAAAGATGCCTCTTATGATTAGGATGAGAGTAAAATGAATGGTAGTGGAAGCACCTTGGAAAGTTAAAAAGCTTATATAAGAGGGTGAAATTTTATTTGGGATTTTGGGTGTTTATATGTGTTTTTCCAAGTCAGTATTTAATAAGCCAAGGCTAGGCCTTCTTGTTTAATATTTGATTTAATCAGAAACAGAATACCCCTTTAAGAGATGTAATAAAATCTTGTGTATGGTACCTGGGAGGTTGTACACCGACACATTTGCTTTATGAAAGGAGAATGCTCTGTGTAGCATGTGTGAGTGACTGTTTCTAAGAGTAATTACACATTGGCTGAGCACTCATTGAATGGAAAGAACTACGCTAGGTGTTGAGAAGTTTGCATTTAAGATAAATAGTAGTGGACATAGTTCTTGGGTTTCTGATCTTACTATACATTTTGATGATGTTGCTTTTTGTACTGTATTGCCTGGAAATGGAAAGTTGTTTAAAAGTTTTGTGTTACGCAACTGTAGTTCTCGGCAGTGATCCTATTTTGTAGTGTTCAGTGTATTGTGTCACTTTAATTTATCATAGGTAGCACTGATTTTTCTTTATCTCTTATGCAGGGGTGAAAATAGTATACCTAGAAGCAATTTTTTTTTTTTTTTTAGAAGCAGATTTTAAAAGCAGTTTCTCCTCAAATCATCTTTCATACCACCTGATAAGCATCTTGATTCACCATGGCGTTGGCAGCAGTAAAATGGGCTATATCAAGCAGAACTATCTTGAAACATTTATTTCCAATTCAAAGTAAGTGAGTTTTTTAATGTTTAAAAAGTGTTTGTTTTTTTTATATTTATTAATTTATTTTGGCTGTGCCAGATCTTCGTTTTGGCATGCATGCGGGATCAAGTTCCCTGACCAGGGATTGAACTCTGGCCTCCTGCATTGGGAGCGCGGAGTCTTATCCACTGGACCACCAGAGAAGTCCAATGTTTAAAAAGTTTTAAACTTTTTCAAATATTATAGTAATACATGTTCATTGAAGAACATTTAATGTAGTTATTGTATATGCCTGCTATTGTATAGGAGTGTAACGTGGAAAGATCTCAGTATAGAAGGGGGAAAAAGTATGTCATAGAAGAGTATATATCGTATGATCTCATTGTGCATTTAAAAGATGATCGACCATATATGTGTGTGTGTATATATGTATAAATGCAGAGTAAAAGACGTGAACCAAATAAGTTATCTCTGTAGACCACAAGTGGGATTTAACCGAGGGCAAGGGAGGGATTGATAAAGAGGAACTTTTTCTAGTTTGAATCACTTTTATTTATATTTTCACATACTGCTTTTTTTTAGTAGTTCCTAAAATTAGCAAAGGGCAAATTTACAATTCCATCTTACAGGGTGATTATTGTTACTATTTTGGTGTGTTCTTTTGTGTTTTTCTGTGTAATTTTAAAAAAATTAATTTCTTCCTTTTCTGAAGAAACATAGTCACATATTTTCTTCAAAGCCTATTAATACATGTTTGATAGTCAAAAATTGATCTATATAAATAGTCTATTAAAATCTTATTTCCTGACCAACCTTCTTTTCACTTTACTTTTCCTCTGTCTGTGAACTGCATTCTCCCATTTGTAAAGAAGACACGGTTAGAGGCTACAATAGGTTTGCTTTTTCATGTTTAGTGAGCCAACTTTTTTACACATCTCTGCCTGACCTTAATTGCTTCCTTCATGTTTCCTATTGAATACCATTTGTAATTGAACATTTTTATTGAATTAAGAGGAAAAGAGTTGTTTGAAGACTAGGGTAAAAAGCTGTATAAATGAAAGTATAATTAAGTAAACAGAGGAGGAGATTGCCAAGAGACTGTAGGTATACACTAAAATCATAGTGAAAACAAAACTGTAGTCAGCTCTTGATTACCTAGGAGCATTTTGTTGTTGTTGTTGAGAATTGGGAGAGAGACCTCTGCTGCTTAGTTTCCCTTTTGCCCTGATAGGAACTCAGCCCCAAGGCTGATGGGAACTCAGACATAATCAGTTTTTACCTAGCTCATGTCCTGAAACAGCAATTTGTCCTCACTCAGGTTAATCTGCAAACCAGTTCATCTGCCCCTGGGTAAGTTAAAATTGTCTGTGTATACTTTACCAACTAGATTGTAAATTTGTACAGTGTCTATTTTAGTGTCCTCAGTGCCTCTCATACATGATAGGTGATAAATAAATGTTTGTTGAATGGATCTCAGTTGTCAAAATATCTGATTAGTGAAGAATGAATTTGGGTTACCCCAGAAAATTATTCCATTATCACTCAGTCATCCTAGTAATTAATGACTACCTAACTTCTTGCATCCTTAACCCTCTTGTTTTACACGTTTTCTATTATTACTATTGAAGGTAAAGTATTATTACCGTTACTGTTGATATTTTATATGAAAAGGAAGGACATTAAGATTAGAGGCAAAGCAAAACTGTGATTGGAAAGTTCAGTGAGCACAAATAAAAAGGCCTCCCTGTATTCCAGAAGGAACATTTAAAACCTTCCAAAATATACAGTCAATGTGGGAATTTTACAGCTTTTAAGCATATTAAGTCATTTGGTCTTTACAGCTTTGAATTTTACAATAACTTACCTATCACGTGGCATTATTCTCTTTCTGAAGATGAAGGAACTTGAGTTCTCTTGCCCTCAGAAGCTCAACCAAAGTTGCATATCTGGTAAATTCGACCTATGATCAAAACCTATGTCTTCCCAATATATTTTCTGCTATACCTCCTTTGTTGTTGTAATTTAAAATATTCAACATTTGAAAATGAAGTGGGACTATCAGCTTTTATAGATCATGTCAAAATGCAATTAAATGTGTGTGTGTATAAATATATATATGTAAAACAAGAAAAGCCTGTGAGTTGTGGAGAGCTGACTCTCATTGAAATTCTTTTCGGCACATTGAGTTGATTTGGATTGATTGATGTTAACTTTGGCATCAGTTATAATTATGCATTTAGAACCTCTGATACTTAACCACATCTAGAATTTTTCTCTTGATAAAATGTCAAATGCATTTTTCAAGTATTAATTATGCAGAAATTAACATTTTAGAGGCAGTTTGACAATCTCTTCTTTATTAGTAGGAACTATAGGGGACACAGTAATGAACAAGGTGGGATTCCTGGCCTTAAGGAACTTATTTAGACTTGTAGTTGAAACAGACACCTATGGAAACAATACCTGGAATATGATGTGGTAGAATGTGATGTATGTCATGAGGGTACAAACAAATGTCTAAGTTAGTGCAGAGTACAAATTTTGCAGTTTCCTGTTGAACTAAATACTGTTGTCTTGAGTTTAACCTCCTGCCTAGTTAAGAGTGGTAGATTCTGTCTGTCCTGCCTCTGCCACCCAACCCTGTTTCTTTCAGCAAACATGTACATCACTTAGCTGGTGTATTCAGAGAATACAAACTGCTTTTAATATTAATCCATACATAATTAAGAAGATCCCCAACAGTGTCAGACAAGAAAATAAAATATGTGTAAATGATTTTTACATTACCCTCTGATTTATCTTAATAAATGCTCTTCTGTACTAGCACAGATATTTGAAAATTAATAAATCTTTTGAAAGATGAGGTTATATTTCTAATTCTTTGTATTTTGTTATCTTTATATCAATAGAATTTTGGGGTTGACATTTTGCTGAGTAATCTTTTATGATACTAATGAATTTTGTTAAGGTACTTTTAATGCATTGGAGTAAGAATTTATATTTAGACCTCTAAGTATATGCAGTCCTTTGGGAAAGGAGAGTTTACAGATCTTTGTTTAGACATCTTTGATACATATAAATAACTGATGCATTAAAAAAAAGGACACAGTGATGGTATAGCAATGTCATATGGAGTGTTGGTTGTGGGACATGTAAAATAGACAACTCTTTCTGTGATGGGGATGTAGGGCAGGAAGGGGGAAAAGGATTTCATGGAAGGGTAGCATTTGGCTCTTGAAAGATGAGTGGTATTTGAACAAAGTGGGGATGGCATTCCATACTCAGGAGCAAGTGGCTCAGTTGAGAGAAGTTGATCCTTGGTTTTAGCCAAGATATATTCAGAATTTTTTTTTAACCATACTGAGCTACATTTACATTTTTTCTTTATATTTAAAAGAACATAATTTCTCTGAACATAGAGGGACCTTTCACAAACTTTAAAAAAAGTAGTTATGGCTCTTGAATTTGCAGGTATTCTAAAAATGGAAAATATGCTTTGAAGTGTTGCATTTTGATTAAGAAAAGTTGATTTTGAACAGTTCATTTTGTATTTCATTACTTAAACACTTGCCCTTTATGAGCTATGCACTCCAGTCACACTAAAGTTTTTATTTTATTATATTATTTATTTATTTATTTGGCTGAGCCGTGCAGCTTGCGGGATCTTAGTTCCCCAAGCAGGGATTGAACCCAGACCCCAGCAGTGAAAGTGCTGAGTCCTAACCACTGGACCACCAGGGAATTCCCAACACTAAAGTTTTTAGAATACTCAGAAACTTTATGTTCTTTCTTTCCTCTGGTCCTGGCACTTTTTTTTCCCTCTGCAAGGAACACTGTACTCATCCCCTAACAACTCCAGCTTACTCCATCATCCTTCAGAACACCTTAAACATCATCTCCACTGGAAAAGCATTCTTGAACCTGTACACTCCTGTTTTGTAATCTGTCCATGTGTCCCTTTCACTTCCAATGCTTACCCTTCCTAACAGGGCTTATCTTTATATTGGAATTGTTTGTTTACTTGTCTCTCTCTCACCAGGCTTGCACCCTTTTTGAGGTCAGGGACTGGATGTTAACTTGTTGAATCCCTAGCTCCATGTACAGCCCTGTTTCATAGTGAATACAGTAAATAGTGGTTGAATGAGTAAAACTAGCTTTACATTGGTGTGAGGACATATGCTCAAATTAACTAAATCCATCTTACTGTTTGGGGTTTTTGCAGATGGAGCCTTATATTGTGTTTGTCATAAAACTACGTATTCTTCTCTTCCAGATGACTATAATTGGTATGTATTGAAATCCAATTGAAAAAAAAAAGTTCGTTAGCTCTATCTGAAATGATTTAATTTTATTTCTTGTTTTGGTATTTTCTGCTTTCTTTTCTGATTATTCTTTCTTTAATTTTGTTTTTAAAAATTATTTCAGTGATCTTATTTACCCAGTGTCTGGGCTTATAAATGGTTTAAATAAAAATCATTATCATTGTGTTTCACTGAATACTTCATTTGTTGTAAGACAGACTTGCTGATAGAAATGCTGTCTTTTCTTCCTGAAGTATTCTTTAGCTTTTTGGAAAAACTAAATACTTTTTATGGTTTTCTCTTAGGGTTCATATGTATTAGCTTAAGCAGTTACTTATCTTTTGTTAACATTGAATAATCCTAAATTACAAATATTTAATTCAACCACAATTTATTTGGTACTTATTCTAGTCAGTACGCTAAGAACTAGGAATAACATATGAATGAAATATTGTCCTTTATCTCTATAGCAGCGTCTTATGTGCAGAAACTACAACATGTTTTCTTAAGTTACATTGTTTTCATTGTGAATTTTAGTAAAAATGTATTTTCTTCCCTCTTGACACCAGTTTTAATTGTAAATTTAGTAAGTATTAGGATAGTGATGAAATAAGACTAGGAAATAGGTAGCATTTTTGAACCTGAAAAGATTGAGTCTTATGTGACGTGTTTTGCATTATGCCAAAGGCACTTGGAGAAATGCTGATCTAGAAAAAGTGCTCAGCTACAATCTTTATGACTGGAAATTCAGGTGATCCTTTACCTGGAAGATTATGTATTTTGCTGATCTTTGGCTTTAATAATTTAAGTAATCTCCTTACAGCTTTTTGAAGGTAGCTTTTAGATAAGGAAAAGAAGTTCTATTAATAGTGATGAATGAACATGAAGATCTCTTCCAAAGGTTAAGAAAACAAGTAACTTTAACAAAACAAATAATTTGAAGAATAATTTAGATAAAATAGTGGGTAATGCAGTAAAGGTTTGTTGTGGTAGTTAAGCTGACACATTTTGTGGGATGGTATGAGTTGTCCCCTGTAATATGGGTACCTGGTTTGCCAGTCCAGTGACATGATGGCATTTATTCTTCAGGGATTGGTGATTAACAAATTATGGCTCTAATAATCATTTTGCCTTGAATACAGTATAACTCTGTTTCTAAAACATTCTTTTTTTTAGCAAAGTAGAGCTTGCTTTGACATCTGATGGCAGGACAATAGTATGCTATCACCCTTCTGTGGACATTCCGTATGAACACACAAAAGTATGTATAAGAAAATCTCTTGTAATTTTTAATTTGTTGTTGGACTATTCACCCTTCTTTACAGTATCCGAAGAGAAGGGAATTGTTTGATTTTCTTTATTTGGTTTAGATCTTTTGGCTTTTTTATTTTACTGTTTTGATTTTTCTCTTATTTCTTTTCATCATTTTTCTCTAAAGGTTTTTTTCAGTACACAAAGTGAAACATTTAACACAATTACGACATTAGTTTTCTGGTCTAAAATTTGGTAGATTTCTGACTAGGGATCAAACACACCTAGTATAAATTTTAAAAACACATTGTCCCGGGCTTCCCTGGTGGCGCAGTGGTTGAGAGTCCGCCTGCCGACGCAGGGGACACGGGTTCGTGCCCCGGTCAGGGAAGATCCCGCATGCCCCGGAGCGGCTAGGCCCATGAGCCGTGGCCACTGAGCCTGCGTGTCTGGAGCCTGTGCTCCGCAATGGGAGAGGCCACAACAGTGAGAGGCCTGCGTACCGCCAAAAAAAAAAAAAAACACATTGTTCCATACTACTTACTATATATTGCAATCTAATAAATTATGAAAAGTTTGTATTTTAGTGTACTGTTTCATAACTTTTATATTGTGTTGGTTTTGATAATCCTTTTCATGTTTGGTGAATTTCTTCTTTTTTCAGTTAGTTTTTTCTTTTGCTTTTTTTAAAAAAAATAAATTTATTTATTTTTGGCTGCGTTGGGTCTTCGTTGCTGCGCACGGGCTTTTCTCTAGTTGTGGTGAGTGGAGGCCACTCTTCGTTGTGGTGTGCAGGCTTCTCATGGTGGTGGCTTCTCTTGTTGAGGAGCATGGGCTCTAGGCGTGTGGGCTTCAGTAGTTGTGGCTCGTGGGCTCAGTAGTTGTGTCTCATGGGCTCAGTAGTTGTGGCTCACGGGCTCTAGAGTACAGACTCAGTAGTTGTGGTGCACGGGCTTAGTTGCTCTGCGGCATGTGGGATCTTACCGGACCAGAGCTCGAACCCGTGTCTCCTGCATTGGCAGGTGGACTCTCAATCACTGCACCACCAGGGAAGCCCCTGGTTTTTTTTTTCTAATGGGCCAACATGGGCATATATTTTAACTGGCCTAGTTTAATTTTTTCCATATATCTTCAAAAGCCAGGCACTAAATAAAGGAGGTTTTGTTTTTATTTTTAATATAATTTAACTTGACCCAAGTCTTTTTATTATTTTATATATGAATAGCTTCCTCATTTCTTTAAGCCCTCTTCTACTATATTTCGTAATGTTTGATTTGCTTTTTGAGGAGAAAATAATTCGTCACATGATGCATCTAGTGATACCTATTTTTAAAAATCATCATTAGGGCCAGAGTACCGGTTTGACAAAACAAATTAATGTTATTTTTACTAGTTTGTATTCCATTTTTAAAACCTCACCATTTTGTCTGCCTGCTTTGTATTCTAGCTAGATACCGTAGGCAGTATTCCAGTATTCCTTTTTTGTTTCATTTCTTTGGACAGTATGTAGAAAATAGGAGTAAGTCACTGACTTTTGGCATGTAAACCTCTAGCTCATACTATATTGTGCCTTCTTACATTGTTATTTTTTGTTATATTTCTGGTCACGTGCTTTATCCTTGTTTTAGCAGTTTATACTAAGAAGCCCAGGACTGTGTGATCATTTCTCAGTATCCAAACTCTCATCCGCATATGGCTCTTTGCATCCCTGAATCATAATTTTCCTATCTTGCCCAACTCTCAAAACTTTTCCACTGTACTTTTAGAACTTACTATCATCATTAAAATCTCTCATAACCTTAACTTCTTCCAGAATGTTGCCTTCACCTTCTGACTCTAACAGAAACTTGGCTGTACCCTGGTGTCATTGCTTCCCTAGCACTCTTAAGTAGTTGTGCTTTTCTCTCCTAAACCCTTTTACTACTGAGCATAGAGATGGAATAGGTGTCCCTGTGGCTCTTCACTGTCATATCCAGATCATCTTTCCTCCTCCATAACAATTTCTAGCTTTGTAGTTTGTATCATTAAACCATACCATCTACTTATCTTTTTTCTTTTGCTGTTATCTGTCATCATGCATTTCACTTCTCCTCACCCTCATGTGACCCCATCCCTCCACTCTTCTTTGAAGATTTTAGATGTACTCTCACACTCTCCAACACTGTGTCCTAATTCTTTGTTATTTCAGTGTCCATGTAGATGATCTGTCTACTACCCCAGCCTCTTAACTTTTTGATCTTTTTTCCGCATGGGAGTGGAGCCCCCCACTCCTGTGGTTGTACCCTAGAGATGTTTTAATCACAAATAACTCCTCTTCCTTCCTCCCAATCTAGATTTTTAAGAATTCCACTAGCTTACTACCAACTCCCCCTAGTTTCCCAGCTTCAGGAATTATTCATCCCCTCATTAAGATCTGCATTAGTTGATCGAACCACTTGTTCACAGTCCTTCATGTATCTTGTACATTCTCACTTCTTTCCTTACCCAGCATAGATTCCATGGTCATCATCATAATCACTCCCTTGCATACATACCCATCTCCCTGCCTCTTTTTTTGTTGAACTCCCTTTGTTGTATCCGTTGTCTCCTCTCCCATGTCCTCAGTATTCCTCTCTCTAGTCTAGGAGATCACTCCTGTCGGTTCACACTAATCACTCTACTGCTACCACACTGGCCTCCATGCTGTTCTTTAAGGTAAGTACTTAGGAAGCTCCTGCCTCAGGGCCTTTGTAGTTACTGCTTCCTCTGCCTGGAATGCTTTTCCCCCAGAAATCCTCATAGTTTATTCCCTTTCCTTTAGATCTTTCCATATTTGTTACCTAGAGACCCTCCTTGCCACTACATTTAAAATAGTACCCCTGCCCCTGGAAACCCTATTGTCCTTCACTTTGCTTTGCTTTTCTTAATAGCATTTATCATTTCTGGCGCACTGGATATTTTCTTGCTTTTCTGTCTGTCTCCCTCCATTAAAATGTAAGCTCCATGAGGACAGGGCCTTGTCTGTTTTGTTCCCTGCTATATCCTTAGCACCTGGAAAAATACCTGTACTTGGTAGGTGCACAATAAATATTGTTGATTAAATAAATAAATTTGGCCCTCTCTCTTCATGCTTAAGGGTTTTCTGTTTTAAGGCTAAGAGATATTTACATGGAGAAGCATGGAAATTTTTTGCTTCTAAAGTAATAAATTATAGATTGGACTTTATTTACAATAAGAAACATTCTCGAAAACATGTTACTGTTAAAATATGTTCCTTTTGAATCCAGATTTACAAATTTCATGAAGATAGTATATAACATTAAATAACTATATTTAAAGGTGACTTAAAATTTAGATTTGATTTTCTTCTTTTCTCAAGGAAGTAGCTGCAACTCTAGTGGACCATTTCATTCTCTAGGCCCTGGAAAGCATATTGCATACAGAGATCCTGGTCATAAGTAGAAATACCCACTGACACTGGCTTTAGGAAAGTTAAGATGATTTGTATCTTTGGTTTTCTGGTAATTTACATTTGAATCTAAAAGATGTTGATTATTTTCTATGGATCCAGGTAAAAAGATTCTTCTTTCTGTTTCAGCCAAGTATGTGTTTTATTAAAACTAAAAATATTTTTCTAGAATTTAGGATTTCGAGTTTAGGAAGATAAAGATTTTAAACCAGGGGCAAAAAATAATGATTTGGAAAAATAAAGTAAAAATGTAAGTGCTCGAAATTCTTTTTAGTGGCTGATTTAGTCGAAATTTTCAAAAGTCAAATTTGAAAATTCTTAAGAAAAACAAGGGAAATTCAGGATGACAGTTCTGAATGTTTTTTTTTAAAGTTGACATTCAGTTTTATTTTACTTTTTACTTTTTACTGAAATATTCATGTACCCTTTCTTTGAAGTTTGATCAAGGAGATCAAATACAACCTAAAAATCAGTTCTGAGTCTGCAGAGGCTTTTGGTTTAGACTTCTAAGAAGCCATTAATTCCAATGTCTTTTATCTGTGTGCCTGGAAAAGAAATACAAAGCAGAGAGAATTTGTGATATATTAGAATTGAGCCTGTTGGGAATAGGAAGAGAGACAGTGAACTTTTATTAACACTTGAAAATAACTGTTTGATAATAGTTAAAACATTTGATCTTTAGCAACGAGTGTAGTAACCTAAAAGAGAAAACTATAGGCTCTAATCTAGCATTTGCTAGTATACCTCAGGGTCTGATAGTAACTTGCAAAGACGCAAATATTAATATTTCACTCTACATGTAAGAGATGATCATATAAAATTACTTAAAATGTCTAAGGAGCTCTTTTTCTTTAAATAAATTTATATCACTGTTTTCCTGTTTGAGGCCTTAAAATAAATGTTAACAGCTACCTACCATTATTGAACTCAGTACAAGGGACAGCTCAGCATGTTATTATTTCACTTAATCCTCATCAAACCCTTATTAGGTAGATAATTACTCCTTAGATTTTACGAAAGGGAGATTAAGAGCTTAAATAACTATTCCAAGGTCACAGAGATAGTAGTTATTGACCAAAGCCCAATTCTTAACCTCTTCATTATACTTTCTCCTTATTCCCTCCCACACTAAGGAAGTGGTTCCTTATTCCTGCTTAAAGCAAATTGTTACACTTAAATCTAACTTTGAAAGCTTTTCATAATCTGATTTCTCAAGATCCATTTTTTAAGATCACCTGCTTATTGTATGTTTTTACCTACTTTGCTTTATTTATAATGTTTGTTATTCCTTCTAGAATTCATTCTGCACTCTGTGACAAGGTTCTGACTTGGCTCCTGTTCTATTTCTCACTAATATCTTTGTTAATTTGCATCTCTATAGTACTTAGTCAGTTGTGCCACCATCATGTACTTATGTATTGCCTTTTAAAGAGGTTTCATTTTTTCATGTACATAAACTAAATAAATATGAGTCTATGCTGTAACATTCAGTACAGTGGTAGAATGTAGCAGTTGTCGTTAATAGTGTGTGAATGTAAAGAAGACATCTGTGTTTGAATTGTTTCCTTTTTGATGGTAAATTCAGGTTTTCATTGTGTTGTAATACATATCTATGGTATTTGTAAAGCAAGGCAATGTTACAGTCTTGTGTTACATATGTTATCACTTAATATTTAAAATATAGGTAGCTTGACTTTCCAAGATACTGATTTTTAAGGGCTTTAATCAGCCAGCGTTGCTGATGGGCATATGTTATATCACTCATGTGTTGGGAGGAGATGAGATTTTTTTTAGTAATTAATGTCTTTGGGGGAAAAAAACTACTCGAATTACCATAAAGCATCATTTGATGGCATTTCAGGTACCTAAAATGAAAACATTGAGAAATTTCCTGCTTCTTTTGGATATAAGAAATGTCATTTTCTATTAAAGGTTTTTCATTGTATCTCACTTTAATGGTATGCAAGGTAGAGACTAAACTTTTAAGTTAAATAATAATGGGCACAATTTATAGTTTTGAGAAATAGAAACTAAAATATGTTTTATTATTGGGGGAAAATAACTTTAAGAACTTTATTATTGGAAAGGGAACCCAAAACTTGATATGAGAAGAAAAATATTTCTGGGGAATTCGCTGACAGTCCAGTGGTTAGGACTCTGTTCTTCCACTGCAGGGGGCACGGGTTTGATCCCTGGTCAGGGAACTAAGATCCTGCCTGGTGTGGCCAAAAAAAAATTCTGATTCTTTAATGAATAGTGCAGCTAAGTGAAACTGTTCTGATGACTTATTTACCCACCTTTAGGTACGAAAATGAAGTACTCAGTGTGGTAATTATTTTACTGTAAACTCAATCAGATGCTGGCTAACATTCCTACGTTTTGATTTGTTCATTGCTGATTATTTTGCAGCCTATCCCTCGGCCAGATCCTGTGCAGAATAATGAAGAAACACATGATCTAGTGCTGAAAACCAGATTAGAAGAAAAAGGTGAATACTTAGAGCAAGGACCCATGATAGAACAACTTAGCAAAATGTTCTTTACTACTAAGCACCGTTGGTATCCTCGTGGACAGTAAGTTCTATTTTCTTCTCTTCTTCAACTCTCACTGAACCCTACAGAAATACATAACTTTACTTCTATTAACAAACTTCTGAGGTTGTACTTTGCATGAAGGAATTAACACCCAGTATGATCACCTATTAAATTGTATTTTTAAATCTACATATATATAGCTAAAATGAAATAGTACTTCTTTTCCTTTATTTTAGTGGGGGAGTTTAACCAAAGCTTTCAGGGAATTTTGCAAGAGTTCTTGAAAATTTTTCCATTCCGTGATGTAGTCATTTTATGTATTGTTTTGATTCATCTTCTTGATGAATACTTGATCTTGTCCTCAGCCCTCTATCCATTTATTTAACAGATTTTGAGTTATTGCAGAAAAAATTGGGGTACAGCAAATGATTGGGAAGTATATATATTTCTCAGTTCCTTTAGGAACTACAGTTGCCCCTCTGTTTCCCAGTACTCACATTTTATTACATTGATTCTTACCTCGTATCTAATTCTGGCTTTAATTTGTTTACTTCTTTTGATTCTTATTTCTTTCATATCTATCTTATTCCCTACTAAACTAAGAAACTAAAATGTGGCTTTTTAAAATTGTTTGTTTGAGCAAACTTTGTTTTTATTCACTTGTTTTATTCACTTTGCTTTTACTCACCCAGTAACTAGCACTGGGCTGGCACATTTATGGCAGGACATGCTTATGGAATTAATGAATATGCAATCATTGAGCTGCTTGAAGTGATGGGTGATCAGAAGCACAATCGTTGTTTGTAAGTTGTTAATAGTCAAGGAAGGAAGATAGTAGAGTAAATAAACCAATCAAGAGATTGACATTTGAAGGATGGTTAGGAGTTAGCCATGCAGAATGGGGAAAAGGCTTCACAGGCTGAGAACAGTATGTCATAGAGTAAGCTGGGGAAACTGCAAGTAGTTCAGCTTGGATGGGACCCAGAATATGAGGAGGGAATGTAAGAAGGGTCTCATGAAGGATTTTGTGTCGTGCTGAGGAGTTTAGGTTTTATTTTCATTGCCAAATTCTAAGAATCAAACTGACATCCCCAAAGTTTATGCATTAGGAAATCCTTAAGTAGGTTCTGTATTTGGGATAAGGTGATACGTGGAAAGATTGGAGTCAGAGGGACTTGCTATGAAACTGTTAAAATAGTCCAGGTGAAATTTGTTGAAGATCTACATGAAAGGACCAGCAACGGGAACAGAAAGGGGGAAAGTTAAAGAGAGAGATAGGAGACCTCTCAAGTTTCTGACAGAGGTGTTCAGGTGGATGGTGGTGCCATTCATACAAGTGGGGAAGTAGAGAGTGAGGAAGATGAACCTATTGTTGGTTATGTTGAGTCTGAAGACTCTGGATCATCTGGTGGGGAGCAGTTCTGAAAGCAGGTGCATGTATGGACCTGGAGCTTGGTTTACTTTTTTAGTTTCTCTTTAGAAGGTACTTTCTCCCTTATCTGTAGTTACAGTAGAGATTCCTCAGGGCTCTGCCTTATACTCCATGTCTTGCTAAAATTTGTTCTGAGAGCTTCAATTACATTCATTATATAGATGACATGCAACCTGCTCCATTATACATTTTTTAATTTCCTCAAGCTTATTCCCAATGTCATTGTTCTTAGAATATTACTAACTAGATAACTGTCCGAAGTTTTAAATTCATTTTAACAAAACACAACTCTTCTTTTCCTGTCTTAAAAAAGCCCCTCCCTTAATAATCTTCCTGTAATAGAAGTGATATTTCTGTGTCAATTTCCCAAGGAAAAAATCTGTGATTTTTTTTTTTTGACCACTGTAGTGCCTTTTTTTTTTAAAAATAAATTTATTTATTTTATGTATTTAATTTTGTCTGTGTTGGGTCTTCGTTGCTGCATGTGGGCTTTCTCTAGTTGTGGCAAGCGGGAGTGGGCTTCTCATTGTGGTGGTTTCTCTTGTTGTGGAGCACGGGCTCTAGGCACACAGGCTCAGTAGTTGTGGCACATGGGTTCTAGAGCACAGACTCAGTAGTTGTGGCCCACGGGCTTAGTTGCTCCATGGCATGTGGGATCTTCCCAGACCAGGGCTCGAACCCTTGTCCCCTGCATTGGCAGGCAGATTCTTAACCAGTGTGCCACCAGAGAACTCTCCTGTAGAGCCTTTTTTTTTTTTTTAAGGTAAAACAATATTTGTTTTTATTTATTTGTCAAAGTACAGTCAACCTACAATGTTACATTATTAGTGTACAACATAGTGATTGAATATTTTTATAGATTATACTCCATTTAAAGTTAATAGAAAATAATGGCTATATTTTGCTGTGTTGTGCAATATATCCTTTTTGTTTATTTATTTTATACGTAGCAGTTTGTGTTTCTTAATCCCATACCTGTATCTTGCCCCTTCCCCTTTTCTCTCCCCACTGGAGTTTGTTTGCTATATATGTGAGTCTTCTGTTTCTGTTTTGTTATATACATTTGTTTGTTTTACTTTTTAGATTTCACATGTAAGTGATAACATAGAGTATTTGTCTTTCTCTGACTTGTTTCACTAAGCTTAATACTGGGAATCCCCTGGTGGTCCAGTGGTTAGGACTTCACGCTTTCACTGCCGAGGGCATAAGTTCAATCCCTGGTCAGGAACTAGGATCCCGCAAGCCACACTGCGTGGCCAAAAATAAATAGATAAATAAAACTGAAGTTTTAAAAAAATATATAATATTATCTAGGTCCATCTATGTCACTGCAAATGGCAGAATTTCGTTCTTTTTTATGGCTGAGTAATATTCCATTGTATGTATTTATCACATCTTCTTTATCCATTCATCTCTTGACCACCATAATGTCTTTCAATTTCTGCATCTGTTTTATGTCCCCTTCCTTGATTTTTCTTTCTTATTTTGTATCCACTTTGTTTATGCATTCCCTCTTTGTAGTTGTAAGTTAGGTTATGGGAAAACAAATTAGCAAGCCATTATATAGCCCCGTATCTAAATCACTGCTGTATTCTAAGATTTCTTTCCATGATTCATAACATTGTTCATTATTTCTGTCCCATTAGGTAGATACTTTAGTTCAAGCCCCACCTTGAAATTTTTCTATAATGGCTTTCAGTACCTGTTTCTTTCCTGCATGTTTCATGTTGCTGCAGTTTTTTTGCCATCTTTTGTTTATAACCAAATCGCTGAAGTTATGAAAATCCTCTGTAGATGTGTAACATAAAGGGGGCAAGACTGAAGGCAAGAAGACCATTGGGGAGTCTTAAAACCAAACATGTTATCTCCAGACATTTTTGTCTAGTACCCCACCTATGTTTAATCTTATTACTTATTTAATCTTATCACTGCTAATTAGCTTTGACTGCTAATTAATTTAATCTCTATGGTATGTCTTGTTGCATCAGGATTTCTAGGCACTTTCAGTTATAAGCAGACTTTAATTAGACACAATTGATTATCCCAATGTCTCTCCTAATAAAGAGTTCAACAGGAAAACTCTAGATGCTAGCTTATGTATATAAAGAAAATTTTAACCTGTAGGCATTATACTTGTGATGCATCATCTTTCAAAATTTTAAATAAGCTAATGTGTGATTACTGATACTCAACAAGTATTTATTTGGTATCTACATATATATTTTGGATTAATGTAAGCCATTTCAAATGGTTTCTAGATGTTAGCACCTCTTAAACATCAGGCAGTATATAGAAGGATGTTTTACTAAATATTTCACAATTTTAGATTTATAACAGAAGAATGGGACCCATTATGAATTTAATAATTAGAGATATATAACATCTTTTTAAACATTTTTTAAAATTTATTTTTGGTTGCATTGGGTCTTTGTTGCTGTACGCGGACCTTCTCTAGTTGCAGCAAGCAGGGGCTACTCTTTGTTCCGGTGCTCGGTCTTCTTATTGCGGCGGCTTCTCTTGTGGAGCACGGGCTGTAGGTGCATGGGCTTCAGTAGTTGTGGCACATGGGCTCAGTAGTTGTGGCTTGCGGGCTCCAGAGCGCAGGCTCAGTAGTTGTGGCTCACGGGCTTAGTTGCTCCGTGGCATGTGGGATCTTCCCAGACCAGGGACAGAACCCGTGTCCCCTGCATTGGCAGGCAGATTCTTAACCACTGCGCCACCAGGGAAGCCCCCATAACATCTTTTTAAATATGTTACTGAAAGGTATAAAATGCTTGTTTAAGAAATATTTTTAAACAATTCAGAAGTATTTAAAGTATAAAATAAAAATCTTTTTTATACCTACTAATGCCCTATTTCCCATAGATGAACACTGTTAAACTCTACCTATGTGAATAGCCCAACCTCATATTGTACTCAATTTTGTGCTTTTTGAACTCCAATAAAGTAGAACACTTTTCTGAGAGTACAAGTTTTTGTTAAAGAGGCCAGACTGACTCAAATCATCTTGTCTCTGCTACTTACTAGCTAGTTATTCAATCTTATTATCTATTAAAGAAAGTAGAAATAATAATGCCTAATTCACTTGGTGGTTTTGAGATAAAATATAATCATTTAAGTTAAGCACCTGGCATACAGTATGTGTACAGTAATAATGTGGTAATGATAATTATTAACATTGTCTCCTACTCGTAGTTTTTCTCTTATTCTTTTAGAAGCATCTTTTTTTTTTTGACTGTGCCACTTGGCTTGTGGCATCTCAGTTCCCCGACCAGGGACTGAACCTGGGCCATGGCAGTGAAAGTGCCAAATCCTAACCACTAGACCACCAGGGAACTCCCTGAAGCATCTTTTCTTAACTAGGCTCTTTTGAGGTATAATTTACATACTTCAAATTTACCAGTTTTAAGTATACAACTTCATGAGTTTTGACAAATGTTTTAAGTAAAGCACTCACCAGTTTAAGTACACAGTTCTTTTTTAACATGCGTTAAAATGTATACAGTTGTATAATTGCTACTGAAAATGGGGGTCGAGCTACTTGCCACTCAAAAGCCAATAAAGAGGCAAGGTTGGTGGAAAGGCAAGTTTGCTTTATTTTGGAGGC